GGCTGGCCCGTTGGTGCTTGGAGCAGTGGAGGAGGTGCCCGGTGGAGGAGAAGGCAGGAGCTGATCTGGCCTTTCTCCTCCACTGGGCATCTCCACCACTGCTGAAAGCACAGTCGGGGCAGCCCGTTGGGAGCAGCCGGGCTGCTTCGAAGAAAGGCAGAAGCCGATCCGATCTCCCCCCCACCGGGCGGCTTCTCCTGCTGTGCCCGATGGTGGTGGGGAGTCCAGCCATGGCTGAGGTAGCCGCCGTGGGTCAGATCCAAGCTGCGGGGGGAGGGAGAAAACCGGATAATCCATTCCAATTGGAACAGATTAACCGGTTTTCAATGCATTCCTATGGGTAATGATGCTTCACATAACGATGTTTTCACATAACATTTTTTTTGGGAACCAATTAACATCGTTATGCGAGGCACCACTGTATGTGAGTATTTTAACTGCAGTGATGGTTAAACAAGCAGAGTAGTTAAATCAACAAAAAGGATACCAGATACTAGATTTGAATTGGCTGAGAAAGGATTCTATTTTTATTCTATAATGAATTTTATTTAATATTCAATCAACATACCCTCTAATTTTCAGCTGTACTGGATGGGGCTCTGTCTCTCTCATGTGCAACTTTGCTCTTGTATGCACATGCGACTCTGCCCCCCCATGCGTGACTGGAAACTAACGTGATCACTGCACAGAGGAAGAAGACAGCTGCGTGCAGATGTGCATGCGACTAGCTTAGAGGGAACCTTGTATTCAACTAACATCTTACAATCAGTGAAATAAAAATCCTTAATAATAGTTACATGACCGTGAAATTGGTATGAATGAATAAATCCAATGTACTTTTTTCTGTAATGAAAAGACGTCCCCTTGCCTTTTGAAATAAAACACACACACACACACAAACCCCCAGAAAGCAGGGTGTTAGAAAAAGCTGTCCCTGGAAACCAAGGTCAAAATCATCCATATTGTGTGAAAAACAGTGAGGAAAAACCGGGACAAAAAATCAACTGCTTTGAATTGTGGTGTTGGAGAAGAGCTTTACAGATACCGTAGACAAGCCAGAAAGGCAGAAAAGTGGTGCTGACCCAAAGTACAGTTAAACAAAGTACAGTTTTTGGTTGCCTTCCCCTCTTTTTAGAATTGCCTTGTGGGGTGTTGATTTGCTGGGCTGCACAATAACATTGTTGCATTCTCATACAGCTAGAATAAAATTGTGTAAAAAGTGAGCAATGCTAACCACTTTATCAAAGAAGCAATTAATTTCAAAAAAAGGAAAACATGGACGGACAAGGTTTCTGGGAAAGGGTGTGTGTTGATTATATCTGTGAGAAAAATTTAGAGATCCTCTTTCTATTGGCAAAATCTTTCTCACATGCACATATCTTCTTTTAAAAATGTTGCCAGCACTGTAGAGCTAGGTCACTTTGACACCACTCCCCAAAGATAACGAGAGAAAGAAACTACTGTGCAACCCTTGTTCACAGCTTATTAGGCTTCTGTCACTGTTCCTCCTGCATGGCAACAAGAGAGGCATGTCAAGAAGCTGCAAACAAGGTTTTCCTCTTTTCTTCCTCTGTGGCCAGTTATGTGAACAGATCTGGGGGAACCCGAATTCTCTGGTGCAACTCCACAGCAAGTGAATTCACCTTTCCCTTGTTCTGTAGTCATACCCATAAGTTACTGCCACAGGAGACAAGTGTGATGAGACCCACAAATACTGCTTTTCTTGCAGTACTCGCACAATCTTGAGGCCCGAATAAGTGAAAGAATGATACATGGCCAGAAGGCAGTAAGTGCCTTGCTGGAACAAGGATGTCTGCCTATTGTTCAGAGGTGGATTAAGAAAATCAGTCTTTCTGAGTTGAAGCATAGAAGGTGTTTCTAACTTTAATCCTGAAAACAAAGTCTTTGCAGTACAAATCAGAAAGTTGTCAAGTACTTTGTTAGAAGAAGTGTGGTCAACAGTTTATGATACTGCATAATGCTGTTTATTCACACTTAGGCGATAAAAGATGGTGCGGGCAAGGACTTGGACCCTGAAGAAGCACTTTGAAGGATTTCCCAAACATAGTGATTTTGAACTAAAAGAGGCTGAACTTCCACCACTAAAAGATGGAGGTAAGAGGAAAATCTCTCTTTGCTAGGTACGGTTCATGGTCTGAGTGGGGAAGCACTTTACTGTATTTCAAAACTGCACTGGAAGGGCAGCTGCTGTGGTCACAAGGCACCTATGCTCTGTGCCATAAAGATTTGTGAGAACACCTGATTTTCTGAGCCACCTTTAAAAGGAAAGAAAACAAAAAAGGAAGTATCTAAGAGGAATCTATTTTCTATACCTCATCTGATTTCCTTTGAACTTGCTTCTGAGGGACCCAGTGGGATTTCCTGTAAACAAATGGGGAATATAACACATTCCTTTAAAAAGCCTTTGAACAAAGATTTGACAAGTAGTCTGTCACTATAGTTGAATACTGAAGAGGACCCATAGAACTGGGTGTGCTAGAACTGCCAGAAGTGCATGCAGCAGCATTTAAATGGTGTGACTGGATGTGATGAGGAGTGATGTAGCCTGCAGTCCAGAGAGAAGCCTGCAATTTCCCCCCTTTTTTCCTCAGGTCCTCTGCTATGTTCTGTTTCTTGAAATGTAGTACAGTAATGAGTTGCCAGAGGCGGACTTTTACAGTGTGATGGGGTCTGTCCTCACTATAGGATGCATAAGAGTGTCATGCTTTTCATATTTCATACTTGACTTGGGGGCACACCTGCTACTATAAGATGGCTGCTGTGAAACTGATGTGACTCTTCTCACAGGGATGATTTTGGTCTGACAGGAGATAGTTTACTTCAGTAGAATCTCAGAGCAGCAGAAGATATGGAATCCTTAAAAATTGGGAGTCCTCCCCCCCTTTTTTTTTGAATGCCTGAATTTTTAAGAGTGGTCGTAGGCAGTGAGTGCAGCAGAAGAAAATCAAAAAGGTATTGCTCTTCCACAACACAGTAGAAGTAGCTGAGTTCCACATTTTTCCAGAGAAAACAGTTCCACAGTGCATAGCTACAGCTTAGCTTTCCCCCCACTTCCAAGAGGTCCTCCCATAACAGAGTATAAACAATCTCCATCACCACCTCAAATACTCATTTGTGCATATAACATTTATTGCTGGTCCTAGTCTTTTACTGAGGGTGCTTATTTATTTCAGTTTGTCTTCTGTCTCTTCAAAAAGTTTTAAAATCGGGGAAAACAATGAACAATATTAAGGGTGCTCTCAAGATGAGATTTTATTATGAACTTACCTATCTGATTCATGGAACCCTAGGGGGAAAGCCTCCGAAAGACCTTAATAATATACTTGTAGCCCTGCTGCATTTCCCCACTACTCTTCTTATCTTTTTTCTGTCTAGAAACACCTCAGAAGTAATACATGTCTACAAAAATCTTTTCTGTAAGCTCATTTAAATGAATAGCACCTTAATTAATATATGTTCAGGGGTGCATTTGTTGTTCATTCTTCCTGTCCCAAAACTCGTTTGCTAAATGGCCAGAATTTTACAGGCCCGCTAGATTTGTATCCCCATTCTTTTGCCAAGAATTGAAGGACAAGTTATGGGAGGAAATCATGCAAGTCCATTAAAACAATCTATAAATGGCAACTTACACTAAAAGGTGATGGGAAGAAACCCGTGAAAGGACTAAGAGAACAGCATGGGAGAAAAGAATGTGCACGAGTGAGAATCCCAGACCCATTCACTTTCCATCTCACTCTCTGTCCCTTGCACGATGAAATAAAAAATGCAGATAGAAAATAGCTGGTCCTCTAAGGTAGAATGTAGTCTGATTTTAAACTGATGGAGTTTTTTTTCTGTTTCAGAGGTTCTGCTTGAAGCTGTCTTCTTCAGTATTGATCCATACCTAAGGTAATTAATTATCTTTGTGCAAGCTGTAATGATCAAATACCATGGTGTGAAGGAAAGACAGAAAAAACAGAAAGAACAGAGTGAGCCATCCTCATGAATAGAGACGTCAGAGCAGGAGAGAGAGATAAGAGAGAGAGAAATAATAGAATGGAAAGAAGTGATTGTAGGAGAAAGGGAAGGAATGGAATCAAAAGAAGGAGGAGGGAAAGTTGAAATTTGTCTAGTAGAGGTGGGAGAAAGAGAAAAGGAGGAGGAGTTAATTATACAAGTATGGGAGGAGGACGTAAAAGATCAGGAGAGGAGGCGAGTTTTCAGTATACCAGAAAAGGAGAGAAGGAGAGAAAAGGAGGAGGAAAGAGAGAGAAGAAAAGATGGGTACACATATGAGAAAACGCATAGGTTGTTGAAAGAATTTCTGAATTTGAAAGTGGGAGGACTACCACCAGATCCAGAATTAAGGAAGGAAAAAGAACCAATAACAGGAGACTTAGAATGGACAGTGGTAGTCTTTCTCCAAGGGCAAGGTAATGGGAAGAAAGTGATCAGACCAGACCAGTCATTCAATCGGCCACCAACGGAAGGAGACTGGGCCAGGCACCCATGTTCTGGGGCAGTATGTGCGGTGCAGAGTGTTCCATTAAGGAAACCTGGGAGCGGTTTGGTCCAGCCCCCCAATGGGTTTTCCCCATCTACAATCAAAGATCTTGTCATCGCATTACAGACAGTTGCCTATTTTGAATTGTTTTGATCCTATTGAAGTAGTTGTGGAACCGCCAAATGTTAAAGTAAATAAAATTGTTGATGTTGTGGAAGAGGCTCAGTCGTCATTTCCGGCCAAAAGGGATGAACTGCTTCAAAATTCTAACAAACCCGATCACACATGGGATTTGCTGTAGTTGTAGTTCGGGTTAATTAGAAGTGTTTTTCTCTGATCACACAGTGAAAAGGCTGATTCAAATCAGCCTGCCCCCCCTTTCCTTCCAACTTGGCTTTTTTTTGTCTCTGATGCTGGGGGCTTCTCCTTTTTTCAAGCCATAAGGATTCAAAAAATCCCTTTTCCGATGTGATTAGCTTGTTCATTCTTGTAATGACAGGGGACATGTCTGTGGATGGTGTTTGGGATGTGATGTCCACTGCAGGAACACCTGCTCCTGCATTCTTTCCCCCTCCCCAACCACCCTCTGAATTTATTTTTATGTTTTTACATAGATGAGATTAGTACTAAACCACTTTATCACCTAGCCAATGGTATTAATATACAGTACTAGTTTAACACTAGATCACCTCTGGATGAGATTGAAAAAAACAAACTATGAACAAAACAACCCAGAGGAAATAAAATACCATATTTTTCCATGTATAAAACAACACTTTTCCTTAAATAATTAGACCAAAAATTGAGGGTCATTTTATACACGGAAGGCAGCTGCTTTTCCCTGCCTTTTGCGAAGCCACAGGGCTTAGCAAAAAGGAAAGGAAGGCTTGGTAAAGCAGTCATGAAAGGGCTTCAGGATCAAAGGACTGCAATCATGCAGCCCTTTCATGGCTGCTTTACCCAAAGGGAGCCTTCCCTTCCTTTTTGCTAAGCTCTGTGTCTTCACAAAAGGCAAGAAAAAAAGGCAGTCACTTCGACAAGCCACTTTGAAGCCATGGGGCTTAGCAAAAAAGCCCCGTGGCTTCGCAAAAGGCAAGGAAAAGTGGCAATCAAAGTAACTGCTGTTTTTTCTTGCCTTTTGTGAAGCCACGGGGCTTAGCAAAAAGGAAGCCTTCCCTTCCTTTTTGCTAAGCTCTGTGTCTTCACAAAAGGCAAGAAAAAAAGGCAGTCACTTCGACAAGCCACTTTGAAGCCATGGGGCTTAGCAAAAAAGCCCCGTGGCTTCGCAAAAGGCAAGGAAAAGTGGCAATCAAAGTAACTGCTGTTTTTTCTTGCCTTTTGTGAAGCCACGGGGCTTAGCAAAAAGGAAGGGAAGGCTCCCTTTCTTTTTGCTAAGCCCCTCAGCTTCACAAAAGACAAGGAATAGCAGTGGTCAAAGGGAGCCCTTTGATCTCTGCTTTTCCCTTCCTTCCGCTAAGCTCCATGGCTTAGCAAAAGGAAGGGAAAAGCAGGGATCAAATTTTCTAATTTGGGGTTAGAAAAGGGGGGGTGTCATCTTATATATTGGGTCATCTTATAAATGAAAAAATACAGTATGTTCTTGTGGTTTGTGGAATTTTGTACATGTTAAAAAGAACTGGAATGCTGCCGCCTTTTCCAGAATGCTGTAAACCCTTCTCAAAACCAAGCAATTTGATAGCAAACCATAAAAGGATTGGAAGAGGTGGGACCAGAGGAAGGAAGGAAAGAAGGAAGGGCTGTGGGCTGAAATGTGAATTGCATCACATTGAGTGTGGATACTGAACTCCTATATGAATCTGCAGCTCCTGTGTGATTGTTAACTGCAATCTCAGATGTAATACGGGCTGAAAATCAGATCTCAGCGAAGTGTGATTTGCAACTTCACCCTGTGTTAACACAACCCTTGGAATATAGTCCTAAACATGGAGCTCAGTATGGCTGTGTGCCTTTTCCTATTTGGCTTCTCATAATCACGTAACCTTTGTCCTCTCATAACAGCTTCTGCTGTTGGAGAATTGCAATAAATTGGTGTGAAGAAAAAAGCAAATTAGCTAGTTATGGGTTAGGATCTGCTTTAAAATTACCTCAGGTTTGATTCAAACTAAGTTTGTTGAACCGTTAGTGGGATAGATTAGTCATGGCTTTATTGAGTTCCCACGGAAGTCAGTGGGGCTGAAATTGAGCCAAATTAGTGTTTTTTTTCTTGGTGCTTGTAAGAACAGGTTGTCCCTACTTCTGTAAACGCATGCCCTAATAAGTCTGTCTTGTGGGTTTTTTTCTTTTCTTTTCTTTTCAGACCATACAGTAAGCTTCAAATGAAGGAAGGGGACAAAGTGATTGGATCCCAAGTTTCCAAGTAAGATCTTCCTTGCTTTTTTGTTCTCCCACACACCCTACCTTTCTTTCATGACCATCAGTTTGCTCCTCAGTGGATTGATCAAAATAAATGCTAGATTTCCCAGTCCCACATGGAGATGCTGGGAGTTGGGCCTGAGACTTAGTGAATGCAAAGCATGGGGTCTCCCGCTGAGCTATAGCCAGCTGCTCCGTTGACCCTCCCAATACAAGCTAAATCCTTTGTTGCAACCATAGGAACATCCTTTCAGCCTGTGGTTTGTGTGGTGGAAGAATCTCCTGCAGCATTTTAATACACAGCAGAAACTGCTTACCCTGCTTGTTGTTACATATTTAAGAATCCCTTTACCTTTTCTTTACGTTGTATAGAGTACCTTTGTTGGCTTATGTGTGTCTTGCTTTTTTCCTGTTTTTTCAGGGTTCTGGAAAGCAAGAACTCTGCATTCCCAGTTGGGGCATTTGTTGTCTCTCATGCAGGCTGGACCACTCATTACATTTCTAATGGTCAAGGCTTATCTCTAATGCCTCCTAATTGGCCCAATCACCTTTCCAGATCCCTGGCCCTTGGGACAGTTGGCATGCCTGGGTGAGTGAGCATCAGTGTGTTACAGAGGCTAATTATATGTGTGTCTTCCAGAGCATTATAATGTACCATTCCCAAAAGAAAAATGAATTAATTACAAGTAACTTATTATTTGTAACTAGTAATTCTCAGGCTCTGGTAGCTTCCACTCCTCAGTGGACTTAGGTGTGCTAGGAACACAGTTTGAGTAAGAACTCTTTAATAACTGTTTTTGTTCCCTCAGGATACTCTAGTATTATGTAGAATCATGATATGACACTATTTGGCAATATTTTGTCGGAGAAAAAATGGCAAATGCCAGAATATTTATCCATTTCACCATTCTTCTAAAATTTCAGAAATAACTCGTACAAAATATGTGGAGAAGGTTAATCTCAAGCCCAGGTTTAGAATTAACCAAGAATTCTTCTCTTCTGCTTTTGTTGTTCTGGTGTTGCAACGAAATAAATAAATAGCGGTACTTTGTGAGACAATGAATACTGGGAGGTCCTCATTTTCAGACTTTGCAGTAGAGATGGATGTCCCCTCTGGTCCCTCAACATTAATTCATTACAGAGTAGGAGGGCCCCTTTTAAAGCAAGCTTTAAATTTGGATTTTGGAGGCATAATTTCTAGTGAATTAGGGCAGGGAGTCACTGTGCTGTAGGTTTTGCGGAGAGTCCATTATCTCTAGATTTACCATAGTTGCCCACCTGGAGCCAGCACTGTCCATGGAATGGTCTGGTGCCCTTGGGATGTTTTGAGCCCCAGTTCTTCATCATCTCCCCCATTGCTAGCCAGGCTAGTTGGGGTTATTTGGTTCAAAACAGCACGAAGCTGACTTTATCATCTAAAGTTTAGCCTGTGGTGGATGGAAAATTTACTACCTTGCTCTGTCTCATGAAATCAGTTCTCTGTTTTGTTTTGCTTTGTTTTTTTGAGATTACAAAATGCTTGTTAACCTCCCAAGCTTCGATTGCAGTCTTTAACCCTCTCCTAGCATGATTAGCCCCTTTTAAAGCAAGCTTTAAATTTGGATTTTGGAGGCATAATTTCTAGTGAATTAGGGCAGGGAGTCACTGTGCTGTAGGTTTTGCGGAGAGTCCATTATCTCTAGATTTACCATAGTTGCCCACCTGGAGCCAGCACTACCCATGGAATGGTCTGGTGCCCTTGGGATGTTTTGAGCCCCAGTTCTTCATCATCTCCCCCATTGCTAGCCAGGCTAGTTGGGGTTATTTGGTTCAAAACAGCACGAAGCTGACTTTATCATCTAAAATTTGGCCTGTGGTGGATGGGAAATTTACTACCTTGCTCTGTCTCATGAAATCAGTTCTCTGTTTTGTTTTGCTTTGTTTTTTTGAGATTACAAAATGCTTGTTAACCTCCAAAGCTTCGATTGCAATCTTTAACCCTCTCCTAGCATGATTGCAGAAGGTTTCTGCCAATTGTTCTTCTTCTTCTAGAGGAAAGAGAGCCATGTCTCATACAGTGTTCAAGCCTAGTCCAAAACCTTTTGCTCTCTGAGATGAAGAAGGAATTTGGCTGAATGAAAGTGTAGAGTACTCACATCCTGCTGGGTTTTTGACACATAAGGCAAGATGTTGCCCCATCACTGGCATTAAAGGTACTACCGTAACAAGGAAGTCAATACCAAGTACCTTCCTTTTCATAAAGGCCAAAGGCTGTTGCTTACACTACTCCACCCTGCAAGTTGGTAGGGCCAGCCCAGCTGATATGCCATTCAGGCACTAAGGGTTCATGGCTAGAGATGAAAACTCCACATTTTCAGTGACTCCAAACCCTCAATAAAAGATATCTGAGATGATGGAATGCCAGTGCTGGAGAACTGATAGTTGTCTAGAAGGGGTATTTTGGCTAGTGCAAGGTCTTTGTGTGAAGGGAAGAAAGTTGTGTATTGACGTTTTCTTTTCTGTACAGCCCCCAAAAGATACAAGAGCCCAGTCCTGTTCTTGTGGCCACAGTGGTCTGATTGATGAGGCCTTCTGCCTCTTGGGGGCCTTTTTGATCTTGTCATTTGGTCATGTACAGTATTTATATTAAACATCTCTGTTCCTCAGAAGATTTATTTGATGAGCACATAGTTTCCTTCCCTCCCCCGCCCCCGCACAGGATTACGGCTTACTTCGGTCTGTCTGAGATTTGCCAGCCAAAACCCGGAGAGGTCATCATAGTAAATGCTGCAGCTGGTGCCGTGGGCACTGTCGTAGGGCAGCTCGGTAAACTAAAGGTAGGTGGTTGTCAAAGCCTGCCTGGCGATTGCATAGTTCAGGCCAAGGAACTTGTTGGCCTTCCAGATAACTCAGATACGAGTTATTGTTTTGTTTTCTCTTTTTATTCCATAGGGTTGCAAAGTAGTTGGCTGTGCAGGGACTGACGAGAAAGTGGCCTTCCTCAAAGACCTGGGCTTTGACGAAGCCTTTAACTATAAGAAGGTGGGCTCCCTGGCAGAGGCCCTGAAGAAGGCTTCCCCTGAAGGCTACGACTGCTATTTCGATCATGTAAGTTCATGCTACAGATGCAAAACTTTGCTTGTTTTGCCCATGCAGGTGATGGTAAAGAATTGCAACATCCTTTTTCTTGTTGGTATGGGTGGCGAAGAATTTGCTGAGGCTTTGGCTATAGTTGTTGCAGTGATAAGAATGGTATTTTACACAAAAACTGCTCATTTTTGCACAGAATTGTCTGATTTTTTACAAAATTCAGTCTTATGGCTTTTCCAGATTATACAGACTATCCAAAATTAGCATGACACCCTATCGTGATTCATTTAAGAATTTGAAGCACTACAAGTTTCAGTGGTTCCCAACCTTGAGTCCTGTGCTGGCCAGGATATTTGGAAGTTGTAGTCCAAGAACATTGGGGGACTGGAGGTTGGGAACCCCTGCCCTACATGGATGGTTGACTTCTTTCCTAGCAGTCATCCCTCCTTCTGTGCTTGTTGTGTCCATGTGTTTAGTTTCTCTTAAGGAAACAGCCTGGATCTGTGAGTTCTTTCCATTCCTGCTACAGACTGAGTGCAATTCTGTGCCAGGCTTGAGGTGGGAAGGAAAGTTACAGTGGTTAAATCGCTATACTGCAGCCAAAACTGTGCTCACGGCTCAGGGTTCAAGGTTGACTCAGCCTTCTATCCTTCCGAGGCCGGTAAAATGAGTACCCAGATTGCTGGGGTGGGGGGAGGCAATGTGTAGCCTGCATAATTAACTTTTAAACCGCCCAGAGAGTGCTTGAAGCGCTGTGGGGCGGTATATAAGCAGCACACTTTGCATCAGTGCTATAGATTAGCAAGGATTTCTGACTCCCATTTGCTGAAGAGGGATTTAAATAGGGAGTCTGCAAGGAAGGGAGGGAAATATCCTCACACTGTAAGAGCAGGGTTTGTTTGTTTGGATCAGAGAATTCCCTGACTCCTTGAACTCCTAACTGAGAACAAAATTAACTCTAATGTTGCCTTGAACAGACTTCTAAAAGGAAGAACGGATTGTTTACATCTGAGTGAGCTTGCTTACAGGAAAAAAAAATACGTACAAAACAGCTTTTGTGCAAATTGCTCCAGCTTGGTGGGGAAAAAAGCTCTTGTTGTCTCCCCGTGCATCGGAGGCGAGAAATCTTGTGGTAGTTTGGGTATTTGTCAACACAGCTTGTCTGGACCATAAAAGACACATTGGCAAGATTTCTGCACATCTCTATTTAACAACAGCAACAGCAAAATGACTGTCTATATTATATTGTTGACTAACCAAGAATAACTAATTAGAAATGGATTTTTACCTAGAAGGAGTAGGAACCCTGCAATTTACAACTAATTGCTGAGCTCAGAATTCTTTAATTATAGGATATGCCTTTTGGATTTGACTTTTGCTTGTGGAGTTCACAGTTCTATTTTAAAAATAAAATAGGTCTACAAGTCTGACCAGCTGTGGAGGTACACCCCCCCGTCCCCATTTCCCCACCAGAAAAACACAAAGTCTTCCTTCTGGTCCTTCTGGGAGCAGGGGTGCACCTTTCCAATACATTATAGTGTTTAAGCCCAAAATACTAATGCTTCAAATGGACTTCCAACATCCTATAGGTTTATTTATTTATTTATTTTTGTGTTCTGTGTGGCTTCTTGGAGGATCCTAGGGCAGAAAATGGATCTGGCAAATTTGCCCAAGGCTACTTTAAAAGGTACAGTAATTAAAAAACATTACACCACAACAAGAACATCCTTCCCATCCACTGGCTGAAATTCCGTTGCTTTGCTGTGCATGTAGACAGCAAACAGTGTAACTTCCAACATCATCTAGCTGGCAGTCAAGAAACTGCAGCTGGGATTCTTGACTGTGCATCAAGCAAGTAGGACCATGGGGGACTCATTAATTGCTAGCTGGATGGCTCTGAAAGTTATGCAATTTGCCTTCCACTGTGTAACCAAGCAACAGTATTCAAGCTGCCATATTATTTTTGAAATGTGACCATTACACTTTTTGTTGGCTGCACCTGGTGCTCGGTTATTAGGGCAACCATCCCCATCACTACCACATCCTGGCTCTGGGGACCTTCAGGCCCAGCCATGATTGGCATAAGTGGCTGAGAAGCAGGTCACACTTTGTGTTCTGTGTGGCCTCCTGGAGGACCCTAGGGCAGAAAATGGGTCTGGCAAATTTGCCCAAGGCTACTTTAAAAGGTAATTAGAAAACATTACACCACAACAAGAACGTCCTTCCCATCCACTGGCTGAAATTCCATTGCCTTGCTGTGCATGTAGACAGCAAACAGTGTAACTTCCAACATCTTCTAGCTCAGTGGTCCCCAACCTTGGGTCTCCAGATGTTCTTGGACTACAACTCCCTGAAGCCTTCACCACCACCTCTGCTGGCCAGGATTTCTGGGAATTGAAGTCCAAGAACATCTGGAGGTCCAAGGTTGGGGACCACTGTTCTAGCTGACAATCAAGAAACTGCAGCTGGGATTCTTGACTGTGCATCAAGCAAGCAGGACCATGGGGGACTCATTAATTGCTAGCTGGATGGCTCTGAAAGTTATGCAATTTGCCTTCCACTGTGTAACCAAGCAACAGTATTCAAGCTGCCATATTATTTTTGAAATGTGACCATTACACTTTTTGTTGGCTGCACCTGGTGCTCGGTTATTAGGGCAACCATCCCCATCACTACCACATCCTGGCTCTGGGGACCTTCAGGCCCAGCCATGATTGGCATAAGTGGCTGAGAAGCAGGTCACACTGTACAGAGGCAGCCATGTGGCTTTGACTAGAAGAAAGAGGCCAGTGGAAGCAACCTCTGGTAGTGGCAAATGGATGGCAGCTCTGCCCCTGTCCCCACCATTCTGTTACCTGGGGCAACCACCTCACTGTGGTTAATGGCCAACCCAGCCCTGGTCAATGTGTAGGCAAAACAAGAAGTTTCAACTACACATAAGAAAGGTCAAGAAATGATTAGGAGCAGACTCTGATTACATTAAAAGCAGTTCTGCCCCAATTGTTGTGCAGTTGGGGCTGTTATGGAAATAGACCAAAAACACCCTTGAGGAGGGGCAGAGTTGCTGTCAAAATACAATCCATTCCTGCAACAAATTTAATTTTAAGAATTTTCAAGAGATGTGGGTCGTGCCTTTGAATTAAACATGACCAAAGTATTTAATTCTGTTTTTACAAAAGTGAAAGCTATGCAACCAAAAGAAGAAGGAAAAGGGGGCGGCAGGAGGGAGGGGGAAGGAAATCTTGAACTTCAGACTAAACACTAGCAGGGGCAGGAAATGCTAAAGCCAAGTCTGAACTCTGAACTGTTTTCATTCTTAGAACTGAGAATAAATGCCACATTAAGCTTAAACTCAGGATCTCTAAATGCACTAAGGCCTGCTCCTTGTTCTTTTACTAGACCAGGTGCTTTGAACCACAATCCCAAAGCAAGGCCATCAAGGGCAAACCCATCTTGTGCACCTCTGTTAAAAGAGAGGCTTTCTCAAATTCAGGAAAAGCTTTTACTTGTCTTTTCCTGTCCCCGTTGATTTGTTTTATTTGTGCTGTCAAAGAACCCAGTTTGAAAAGGTTAAGCAGAAGCTGCATTCTTAAGAGGGGCCCGGCAGTGATGATTGAGTAAACTCAAGAACCCAGTTTGAAAAGGTTAAGCAGAAAGTCTCGGCCTTCCCGTTGTTTGGCTTCGGGAGCTGCATTCTTAAGAGGGGCCTGGCAGTGATGATTGAGTAAACTTGGAGCCCAAGCTCCATTCCTCCACTCCTGTTCTCTTCAAAGCTCTCATCTGCATCTTCCATCTGTGTATCTTGCAAGCTGTTTGTTCCCTTCATAGTGAAGACCCCCTTCCACATACATAGAAATATGGACTTAGAAGCATAATGCTGGGGAATGTGGGATTATCTATGTGTTGTTGGACTCCCAAGTTCTATCAGCCCCAGACAGCTTGGTCAATCTTGAAAGATGATGGGGCTAGTGATTAAACACTACCTCAAGGCCACAGGTTCCCTTGTCTTGTTCTAAGATAACCTGCCAGAAGAACCAGGCTGAGTGAGGCACTTTCACTGGTGCTGCCCAGTGCCACAGTGTCTGCTTTGCAGAGCAGATGCTGTGATCTATTGTTGTTTCTCACCTGGGGAGCATAGCCTCTCCTCTTCCCCCTGCCATTACATTCCCCCTCCCTCTTTCAACTGTACCTCTGAAATAATGGCTGAATTTCCTTTCTCCCTGGCAAGTATAAAGTCTAACCCCAAACATGTCTTCTCAGCCCCCATGGAAGCATTCCAGTTCTTTGCCTCTTTAGGAGATAGGAGGAAAGCATTCGGAGAGGCTAAAAGTAAAGAATAGAGGGCAAGTGTCGGGAGAGCCTCAGAAACCCATCTCCAGACATGTCACCAGGCCAGAGGAACATTTTATTCTAGATCTAACGGTGGTACTACCAGGGTAGTATCAAGAAAGAAAGAAGAAGGAGGGAAGAGAAAGAGGTCAGTTCCTCCCTTGCTTCCAGTCTACTAACACGATCCTAGTGGCAGGTCTTTGGATAGGCCCATTCATCTGCCTTCAGAACTGGTGCTATCCACATTTCTTAGGATTGCTCCACTAGGATAACCATCATATACCAACTTAGGAAGAGCCCACCCAGCTGAACCCAATGAGACCTACTTAAGAAGAGACATTGTAGGGTTGTGCTCTGAACTTGTCATATGTTCAGCAGAAGGATTTTGTCTGTGATCAAACCAAAATAGGATATAAACTATACTGAAGATACTAGTCTCTTGTCCTAGCTCATTTCTTAGTCTCACTTTTGATTGCAGCTCCTGTGTGAAAAAAGAGGGGGCGAGACATGCCTGATCTGAAAACAATGTGGAATATATCCTTGTGGTGTAAAGCATTTTCACTTAGCCAAAAAGCCAAAGAATGCTTTCACCAAATGAACAGGTGAAAATGTTTTTGTAGAAGTGCACAGACATTCAACACAGCTGGAGTTCACACAAATGAAGCAAAATAGGCTTAGTTTATCCATAGTGGTTTTAAGATGTAGAATTTGTCAAGTGTGCAAGTACTGCATAAGGAAAGGCATTATTTCTAATAGTTGTGTAAATAACTGCAAAGTAGACTAACTGTCGGATGAATCATTAGGAAAATGAAGTGGTTAAAATAAAATGTACTGGTTTAAATCCTGTTGCATAGCTAGAATTGCATAAATTGAAATTATGTGATTTTGTGCCAAGGTGGAAAGCATATTCAACAAGCCACTCTGCAGAGGCAGTTGTGAATTGCCCAGAATTGTGCATTGAAGCACACAATGCAAAGTGCTTGGGCGTAACCCCCTGAAGACTTCCGCTGGGTTAACTTTACAAGTGTAACAGCATTTCAGCCAATGTATTGATTCATAAAGATGTGTATAAATCTATCAAGGTTTCCTTTTTGGAAATAGACATCTTACATCAAGTTGAGGAAACTGGTTCTTTTGGTATTGCAGGAGAAATTGGGTAAGACACAAGGCTAATCATTGATCCACAAAAGTACCTCAGCTCTTTCTGGAGCCCAGGAGCCCGATGTAGCCTATGGAGTCTCTCTGTCCTGCTCATAAACTCCCTTCCCCTCCCGAATCTGCTGCACTGTGCAGTAATTCAGCTTCCTTTAAAATAATTTTTTTAAACGAAATTTCCATTGGTGTCAATAGAAATTTTGAAAGCCTAAAAAAGCCTTCCTTTTGTTTCACCAGGATGCTTCGGTGGTTCCCAAAGTTGGGTCCCCAGATGTTCTGGGACTGCAACTCCCAGAAATATGGGCCAGCACAGCCAGTGGTGAAGGCTGCTGGGAGTTTTAGTCCAAGGATGTCTGGAGACCCAAGGTTGACAACCACTGCTTTATTCTATGCCTGATTGCCAGGGAAGAGTGTCAATGGGAGGGAAGTCGCAATTGTGGTGCTTTCCATATTTTGTAACACACAATGCACGAAGCTGTGTTGCAATTAAGTCTGTTGGGAAGAAAAGGAGCCTGTGTCGTTTTCCAAGCCACGTGTGTTTTTGCGTGTCCCATATGATTGTTTTCCATTAACCTTGCCTTGTCTTTGGCCACACAGGTGGGAGGCGAGTTCTCCAGTATTGTTATGGAACAAATGAATAAATTTGGGAGAATTGCTGTGTGTGGTGCCATCTCATTGTACAACGACACAGTGCCTCAAAAAGGTATAGGTTTCTCCCCCTTCTTTTGTCTGTTATGTGATTACATTTGTAAGGAGGGAAAATGAATAAGACTATAAAGCTGCTAGAATGGCACCTCCACCATTCACCAAGCTGTCCATCACTAGGAGAATTGGTGGGGCGAGATGGGTGAAATTTGGGGACAGGAGACAACAGCAAAGCAGCATACTTCCTGTCATCTATCTTAAAACACCCAAACAACCCACCTCTTCTAGAGTGGTTTTCCAAAATGAGGTAGCATTGATGGTTGTTGTGGGTCTTTCGGGCTCTTTGGCCGTGTTCTGAAGGTTGTTCTTCCTGATGTTTTGCCAGTCTCTGTGGCCGGCATCTTCAGAGGACAGGAGTCAGAACTCTGTCCATGCTCTGTTGCTGCTTGTTGGATAGTTCAGTATTTATAGCTGTGGGAACAGCTTTTTGTCTTTTTTCAGCAGATAGGGTGATCAGCATGTTTTTGTTTTGATGGGGGGGGGGGGGAGAGGTTATCTGTCATTGCACAAAAAAGACCAGCTAAGGACACCCATCAGTCACAGGGACAGTCGCCATCAGATCCCAGCCGTGAAAGCCTTCTAGAATACATTGATGTCGCATTGCTGAAGTAGAAGGTTCTGGGTTTTTTTGTGACAGGATTCTCTCTTCTCTTTTTTAATATGGCTGTCAGCCTCTGCTACAAAGGATGGGCAGGAAGGCAAAAGAAAGGAACCAGGTAGCAGGGGCGTTGGCAAGTCTTTGGGTCTGAGTCCCGAGCCTACGTTTTTCTCGTACCAAGTAGTACCAAGTCTGTGTTTTTGTTGCTGAATCCCAAGCCCTAAGTCAGGTTCCCTGTTAAAAGCAAGCTTTTTTTCTCCCCAGAAAAAAAGGGAGGAGGGGTCAGTGGGTTCCGAGTCATTGGGAGAAAGAAAGAGCCGAGAAGCTCAATTCCCCATCCCTGCCAAGTAGCTGAGGTCAGCTCCCTCTTCCTCCCCAGCTTCCCCCCCCCGTCCCAATTTTGATTTTTGAAGCAAGGAGTCTGCTACTTACTCATCTGAATGTAGTTATCCCATAATGTCAGTTCCCTTTCTCAAAAGAGAGGCTTTAATTAATTGATATTTTCATCATTTTTTTTACTGTGCATTAAACTGCATGAAAGACCTGGTCCATTTGTTCCTTCCTGCTTTGTGGCTGCTGTGGTGCCGCTTAGAGCTATTTAAGCACACGTTCCTGGGGTTTCTGTCCATACTAACCCGTCTCTCTTTCCTCTTAAGAGGTCAACGTTTCTTTAACAAATAGGGGAAGACTCTTTCAAAAATCTTGCAGAAAACCATAAAATTTAAAATGATCTTATTTGCTAGATGCTTTTGCCTTTGCTTTAGAGTAGCACTTAACTGAATGTTTCTGATGGCAGCAAGCATCTGTTGCTGATCCACCTCAGTTTTCAAAATCTGTAAATAATCTGCTATTTTTTTTGTTTTTTGCTGGATTTTCGTGGGGTTTTTTGTTTGTTTAGTTTGTTTGTTTTTTTCTTCAAATAGAACAGCAGTAAATTCAAAGCTTCTCAGCAGAGAAACCGTTTCACCTTAAATTGTGCCACTGGATAAAATGAAACAAATTAGCAACAAAAACAAGAAAGCAATTCCTGGTGGTGGTTCAAACACACACACACATGAACAACCCGGTTTTTGTTGCACTTTGTGACTACTGAAACCAGTTTGAGCCCCATAGTGCTCAAAGCTCTGTCTGGGCAGTTTACAATTTTAATTATGAATCTTGAAAGGGTGGATGGTTGAATCAACCTTGAGTTCAGGTACCTGAGCCCGGGATCAAACTCAGGTTCTGAGCAGAGTCTTCAGTGCAGTACTGCACTCCATCTGGAACATTTGTTGTATAAAGTGCAGGAAATGCTCTGTCTGGGCAAGCCAGGTAACAGGTGCAAGAGGCTTTTCTTAAAGAACCAGAATTCACTGACTGCAACATGGTAAGAAGGCATAGCAACATTTTTGATCATGTGTGGTTTATTTTAGCCAGTGAAGACACTAGAGGCCAGTAAAGAGTCAGAAGATGATTGCCTCCTCTGTGCAAACCATTCTAGCCTTCCAGGTTCTCCCATTCACTGGTTGAAACAGGATACAGCAGATCAGACCCAAAAAACCTTTTCTTTCCCTCGGGCTGCATTAGTGGGTGACTAGATGGTCAAATACTGCAGGGTTTGCTCTGCTTATAAAATGGGTAAATCACAAGTACTTTTTTAATGACCACATGATGGCTGGTTCGAATTGGTCCAGCCTTCTTTGCTCCCGAAGTGGGCTTTTTACTCCACCTCTGGGAGGGGCTTCTACTTTTTCCAACTGGAATAATTTGAACAGGCTTTCTCCCTCGCCCCCATGTAGTTAGTTGTGATACGTTCTTGTAAAGATGGGGTGTGTGTCTGTAGGTGGTGTTTTGGTGACATAGGCAGTTGAGGCATGATGTTCAGGTTTGAGGAGGACACGCAAAAGCAAAGCACTGTGATTTTAACGTGGTTGATTGGGTGCTTGTCTTGTCAGATCATGTGGAAAGGCCCTTTTGTTGTGAAGCAAAAGCTTAGTTTTTTTAACTACTTAATTTACAAGTCTGAAAGAGTCCTTAAAATTGACTCCCCATTCCCAGCCATTACTCTTTCCTCTTACTTTCAAGTAATGCATGCAGGAATTACATCACCCCTCCTTACATATGCTTTTAAACTATTGGCGTGATACTGTGACCAGAAATGAGGTAATTCCTGCGTATGTTACTTGAAAGTAAGGGGAAAGAGTAACATCTGGGAATGGGAATGCAGTGATGCCTGTCATGGAATAATGTTGATGTGTGAATTATGTATTTTGCAAAATTACTGATAAAACTGTTGGTGCTCTGTACTCTTTGTTAAATACATTTCCATGTTAATTTCTATAACATTTTTTGAGAAATGTAGTAGTGTAAAGCTTTAAATAAGAAAGTGGCTTCACAGCGAACCAAAGAATCATGAAAGGCAGGACCAGAGGATCAAAGGAAAGAAGGAGGCTGTGAGATGGAAAGCGATTCATATTGCATCCGGTATGAACTGTGAACTCCTGAATCAGTCTGAAGCCCCTGTGAGCACTGATTGTGATTTCAAATGTAACAGAAGCTGCAAATCAAATCTCAGCAGGTTTCTAGTGTAGCCACACCTTAGTGACACACATAGGCATTTCTGAACTGCTGCCTCATCGTTATTTAACACTCCCTGTATTCTCTGAGGTGAATGGAGCTGTTAGTGCAGCTGGTTTGCTGTTCTTTTTGCATAGCAGGTCCTTAATTTTGTTTGTCTGAGTCTGAGGGTAAAGTTATTGTAAAAACTGATTAGTGTTTACTCCTGTGAAATAAGGTGATGTCATGGAGTGAATGTTAGGCAATTAGAGCTATGTTAACTGAGGGGAACATTCTCTGATCATATAGTTTGGATAGGATTTCCAGAGTCTCAGATTGACCTATTTCACAGGATTGTTGTGAGGATAAAAAGCAGACAGAGCCAAACTTCTTGTTGTTTTTAAGACTGGTGGTGCTGAGCCCCTGAAATTATGGTGGGAAGAAATTTGAATCATTAGGAATTGCTGTACAACAGTATAGCTTCTATGAGATCTGTGATCTTTGCCTTAATGAGAAGTCCTGAAGTTGTTGCCATCTTTTTGGAGCAGACCTTGGAAACATGAGACAATCACTTCCAAGAATCCCCCATTCAGTCCAGCCAGTGACCAGACTGTCTGGGGAATTCTGGGGAGCAGTTACCCCCAAACAGAAATGATTCCAGGGAAAGGTGGCCCAAAGCCCACCTTTCTCTTATAGTCATAATTTCTATGGAGTGTGACAGAGTAGGGATTTGAACCCAGTTCCTCAAGGCCAAGGCCCACACCCTGGCTGCTAGATTTCCCTCTTCCCCACACACTTTCAATTACAGTCTTAACCTAACCACTAGTTTAGCTGTTTTTGCATTTACTTTGTGGAGTATTCTAAGGTGATCTAGCTGTTGAGTCAGTATGGAGCCTGTAAAGAAAGGACGTCAGATTAATTATTTGGAAGTGGCAGGTGCAAAGCACATGACATTTTGAGTCCTGAAGCCCTGCAGTCAATTTTGTGAAGGTTAAATAGAGGTGTGATGGCTTGGGCGCATTATTTGCTGTACCCTAACACATCAGGGCTGCTCCATAGGGCTCACCTCTCTGTAGGCTGATATAGAAATACATTCAAATTTGTGTAACTAGGGTTTAAATGTCTTTTCTCCCATGCATTTAAAGATGGCGTGCGCAGGTGAACTGCTCGTAGTATTAACAAAAATGCAGGAAAATGAAAAGTGCTGGACAGCTTTTTAGTGAGAAATGCCCTGCACCAAAACTAGTCCTTGACCTCTCACAGCAGGCCCCCCTCCTCCCCCTGCTTCCCTTTTACCCACAGCCCTCTTGACTGATCTGGGGAGTGGAGTGAAGTTGCCCTGCCATTTCTACTAGTGAGTAGCAGGATAGCATTCTTACTCAGGATCCCAGGGAAGAGTAGCGGAGAGGAATTAGAGGCTCCAGATACAAAACTGGCCTTGAAGATGAATTTCACCGACCCTCATCCTTTCACTCCCCATCTACAGGACCTTATGTTCAGCTGCCCGTCCTCTTTAAAGAACTGCGCATGGAAGGCTTCTTAAGCCCACGCTGGGAACCCAGGAAAGAGGAAGGGCTGGCCGCCTTGTTGAAGCTGGTTGCTGAGGTAAGCTGGATGACTGGGTCGATAGGCAGAGGCGAGAGAGGTGTTCGCTCACAAATAGACACATGCAAAATGCTTGAGCCAGTTTTCTCCTGGGAAGGAAGAGGGTGAGATTGTATCAAAGACAGTGTAGGAAGCCTCATTACATTTGGTTTAGTTTCGATGTTAGCTTGGGGCTTGGAAGCACAGGAGAGCCACTGCTTGAATTTTTTTTTACCAGTAGTAACTATATCCCAGCCATGCCCAAGAAGCCAGGTGAATGACAGAAGTCTCTTCAAATGTACATTAATGACCTTGCCGTCCACAGCTCCCACACTTATGACCTATATCCTGCTTTTGGGTTGTTTCGGTTACACCTTCCACCATAGTGTAATCTGACATACATACAAAATATTTTGGTTGGAAAATTGGTTTGCTCTAGTTTGAAAAGTGTATCTAACCTTGCCAGAAGAGAAAGTTAGGCCAGTATTTTAAGCTACCTGATATGCAGTCTTCAAGAGCAGCTAAGGAGTGGGCTCCACGCTGCTCTGCATACTGAACAGCTATCGCTCCTTAAAAAAATTAAATAGCGCTATAGACTTAAGGGGATTAATCCCAGTCCCACCATAAATGTGGTGCTGCTACCTGCACAGCCGCCTTTTACATATAGCATGCTACTGAGATCCTTCACCAGTAACATGCTGTATTTAAAAGAAGGCTG